GTTGCAGTGCGTTACTGTCGCAATGGTGAGATTTTCATTCTGCTTCGGCAATTACGCCTAGAGATTATTCTTCATCTCCTAGCAATACATCCATTTCGATAAAGGGTAAACTTGGGAATTCTAGCAGGTGTGACAACGTCAAGTGTTTAGATGATGCTGTGAGTGTATACCGTCAAATGGTTAAAGAGCAGCCTCTTCCCTCTCCTGTCAGGTTCTCAAAATTGTTGCATACTATGGTAAATATGAAGCATTACTCTGCTGTTGTTTCTCTCTTTGGAGAAATGTGGAAATTACGTATTCCAACTGATAAATTCATCTTGAATATAGTGATTAACAGTTATTGCCTCATGCACCGTGCTGATTTAGGATTTTCTATATTAGCCATTTTCTTCAAAACTGGCATTCCATTTAATGTTGTTACCTTTAACACCCTAATAAGGGGACTCTTTGCTGAAAATAAGGTTAAAGATGTCGTTCACTTGTTCAAAAAACAAGTGAGAGAGAATATTTGTGAGCCGGACGAAGTCATGTATGCAACTGTCATGAATGGGCTTAGTAAAAGGGGCCATACTGAAAAAACTTATAGTTTGCTCCGATTAATGGAACAAGGTAGCACTAAGCCCAACAGATGCATCTATAGCATTGTTATAGATGCCCTTTGCAAAGATAGAATGCTAGATGCTGCTATCAGCCTTTTAAACGAGATGAAACAGAAAGGCATTCCACCCAACATTATCACATATAGTTCATTGATTGATGGTTTGTGTAGGTTTGGTCGGTGGGAAAATGTTAGGACTTTGTTCTATGAGATGGTTAATGTTAATATTTATCCAAATGTGTACACCTTGAGTATAGTGATCGATGGACTATGCAAAGAAGGAAAAGTCGAAGACGCCGAGAAAATAATGAGAGACATGATCAGCAAAGGTGAGGAGCCTACCGTGGTCACCTACAATGCGATAGTAGATGGATATTGTTTGCGTGGTCAGATGGATAGAGCGAGGAGAATTTTTGATTCTATGATAGGTAAGAGCATTGAGCCTAACATTACAAATTATAACACACTAATAAATGGATACTGTAACAAAAAGAAGTTGGACGAGGCCATGCAATTGTTTCTTGAAATTTCTCGAAAGGGGTTGAAACCTGATATTTTTACCTACAATATTATCTTACAAGGTCTGTTTGGAGTTGGAAGAAGTGACACTGCACAAAAGTTCTTCGCAGAGATGCTATCGACAGGGCAGAGACCTAATTTGCTTACTCATAGCATCTTGCTTGGTGGTTATTTTAAGAATGGACTTGTTGAAGAAGCTATGTCACTCTTTCGTAAGTTGGAAAGAGAGGGAGAGAAGATACTGACATTAAACTTTACAATATTGTCATTGATGGATTGTACAAAAATGGAAAGTTGGACAAAGCTCATGCCATTTTTGAAAAGCTTTCTTTAATAGGTTTACATCCTAACGTGATAATGTACACTACAATGATTAATGGGTTTTGTCTAGAAGGGTTGTTAGATGAAGCTAAAGATATGCTAAGAAAAATGGAGGACAGTAGATGTTTGCCGGACAACGTAACTTACAATGTTATTATGCAAGGGTTTCTGAGAAGTAACAGAATTGGTGAAACGAGGGCTTTCTTAAAGGAAATGAGTGGGAAGACTTTCTCATTTGATACAACAACAACAGAGTTACTGACAGACGTTATAACGAAGGATCCTTCTTTGCTTGACATGATACCAGAGTTTCATCTGGAAAAGAAGAAATAAAGATGTTTTCCTAATCTCATCCAATGCAATTGGGGAAATTGGAAAAATGAAATTTGAGCATTGCTTTTGCTTTATAGGCAAACTTATTGAGGAGGTAAATCACTTCTAATTCTGAATGTTTTTTCCTCTTCGTTATCTCGCAAATTAGATGCTATTGCACTCTTACTATGAGAAATAATATGAATTTCCTTACGATCTATTCTCCTATTTCTTTATAAAGGCTAGAGGTTACTTTAAAGGCAAAATAAGAGCTTTAAGATTAAGGGGAAGCTGAAATAAAAGTGAAAGGATCATTGTTGTTCTTATTTTCAGTTTTCTTAATATAATAAAATTCTTACACCCGTGACATTGGAGAAATATCCTCCAAAATGGATCTCAACAATATTACAATATATTTTGATGAGCTATATTACAGTACTGTCTATAGTGTATAAATCTAATGTGATTATGGGATAATACTTTGATATTTGTAATAGGAATTATGTTTTTCCTAGAGATTGAAGTCTTAAATCATTCTGCACTATTATAACCTTTATGGGGTATTTGGGCAGCATCATCATCATTTTCTGCAAATTTGCTCCTTTCTTTTGTATTTTGTCTATCCACTGTGATCTGGGATGTACACTAGACAGTTTTTTCCATTGAACAATTTATTATACTCTAGGACTAAGTTCTCTGTCAAAGCCTCTTTTTTTTCCACTCTTTTCCCCTAGATTGAGCTGCTCATTTTTCCCTTGACAGAAATTGGAGAGACTGTGCAACCATTCAAGTGAAGTGAAGATTGCAGGAGTTGCAGTCCGTTACTCTCGCAATGGTAACCCTTTTATCTCATTCTGGCTATTTCTCATTGCAATGCTGAGATTATTCATTCTGCTCTGGCAATTATGCCCACGGATTATTCTTCATCTCCTAGCAATACATCCATTTGTTTCTAACAGGTTTGGGAATTGGGAACATCTAGTGTTTGGATGATGCTGTAAGTGTCAAATGGTCAGAGAGCAGGCTCTTCCCTCTTCTGTCAGGTTCTCAAAATCGTTGAATGCTATGATATTTATAAAGCATTGCTGTTGTTTCTCCCTTTGGAGAAATGCAGAAATTAGGTATTCCAACTAATGTCTGGCATCAAGTCATCCATCAGCAAGTGGATATGAATTCATTAGTTTTTTTTTTTGAAAAGGTAACATATTTGTATTAAGTATAAAAGTGTAACCAATTTTATACTTAATACAAATATGTTACCTTTTCAAAAAAAAAAAAACTAATGAACTCATATCCACTTGCTGATGGATGACTTGATGCCAGACATTGTGTCACCTCCTCTCTCTCTCCGTGCCATCTTTTTCTTCCCATATATAGAAAGGATAAGGATTAAATTGAAGAAAAGGAAATAGTTGAAATTGGTATTGTACAACTACAAGCTCTCTATTGACTACAATAATCAATCAATTAATAGGGTGTCCTAGTGTGGATTTTTTTGTCTTGCTTGTTCATGTGAAGGAATTTTCAAGTTGGTAAACACTCGGAGATCTCATTAGCTGATTTTACAATAAGAGCGCCACATCTATAGAAATTAAGTCACTTCAATTTTTTAACTCCCATTATATGTGGTGATTTTCAATTCAGAGTTTGTCCTCTTGAATGTTTTGAGTATATACTGATTCTAAAATGGAGTGATCTTCTTTTATTTTTCTTAATGAAAAACATGGAGTTGATCTTTTCTCTTAGTTTCTTAGTTCCTGGTACATCAACCATAAACAAAAATCAAACCTTACTTTAGATTGAATCCTCTTAGTTGTTATTTCATATTTCAAATTCAAATTCTCTCTGCAACTCTTTCTCAGATTTTCCGCTTGGTCGATAATAGAGTTCCAGATTGTGAAAAAAATGGCTCGTACGAAGCAGACAGCCTGTAAATCTAGCAGTGGAAAGGCTCCAAGGAAACAACTTTCTATAAAGGCTGCAAGGAAATCAGCCCCTACCACGGGAAGAGTGAAGAAGCCACATCGTTACCGCCCTAGACTGTTGCTCTCCAAACTATCAAAAGAGTACTGAGCTTCTCATTCGGAAGTTGCCTTTCCGAAGGCATTGTCTGTGAGATTGCTCAGGATTTTAAGACAGATATGATATTCAGCTTGCAAGACGAATTCGCGGAGAACGAGCTTAAGCATATAATGATGTTGAATAGTGATCAGTCTCTTCTTGGTCCGTGTATGACTTATGGTACCAAACTAGTCTCTTTTTGTTTGTGCCTGGAACCTAGATATGTTATATTAGGGACCTTATTGTGTTCTATTAATACTAGTACTAGGTTTGCTAATGCAAGTACACTGATTAAAATGAATTGCTGTTTCTGAAAAAGAAAAACAAATCCTCTTAGTTTTCCTGAAATTGGAGTGAAACTTGTTCAAACCTGGCTCAATGTAGTGTAAATTAACTACTAGAACAGATTTACTTGTTCAATCTGCTTGGTGTAAGTTTTTAATCTGATCCAGGGCATCTTGCTTAACCTCCTACTTAACTCTTAACATAGTTAGTTACTCCTCAAAGCATACCATTTGACTAGTCATACACCAAAGCTGACTGCTTTTTGAAGTCTATATAAGCACTAGAAAAATGATTCAGTATGTCCCCCTAACTAACACAAGGGGAATCTGATTTATGATATTTTTGTTAAGTGTCATTTTCATAGAAGGCTTGTTATATCATTTAGCTTATTGAGTTCCTCTGTGAAGCTTTTAGTATTTGATCACTCTTTTTAAGTGTGAGAATTAATCATCTCTAGACTTGGGGTTTCTATTGTGTTCTCTCTTTCTTTTCATTTCCTACTGCAAGTAACTTATACTAGTATTTGATCACTTTGTTTGTCTGCTCCTTAAGAGTGGGCTGCCCGTATTTCCCTTGACAGAAATTGGAGAGACTCTGTAGCCATTGAAGTGAAGTGAAGATGGCGAGAGTTGCAATTCGTTACCCTCGCAACGGTAATACCTTCATCTCATTTTGGCTATTTCTCATGGCAACGCTATGATTGCTCATTCTACTTCTGCAATTGACCGCAGAGATTATTCTTCATCTCCTAGCAATACATCCATTTCAATAAAGGGTAGGCTTGGGGTTTCTAGAAGTTTTGAGAACATTCAAGTGTTCAGATGATGTTGTGAGTGTGTTCCGTCAAATGGTTAGAGAGTAGCCTCTTCCCTCTCCTGTCAGCTTCTCGAAATTGTTGAATACTATGGTAAATGTGAAGGCGGTGAAGCATTACTCTGCTGTTGTTTCTCTCTTTGGAGAAATGTGGAAATTAGGTATTCCAACTGATAAATTCATCTTGAATATAGTAATTAACAGTTATTGCCTCATGCACCATGCTGATTTAGGATTTTCTGTTTTAGCTATTTTCTTCAAGACTGGCATTCCATTTGATGTTGTTACTTTTACCATCCTAATAAGGGGACTCTTTGCTGAAAATAATGTTAAAGATGCCATTCATTTGTTCAAAAAGCTAGCGAGAGAGAATATTTGTGAACCTAACGAAGTCATGTATGCAACTGTCATGAATAGGCTTAGCAAAAGGGCCATACTGTAATTTTTTTTAGTTTGCTCCGATTGATGGAACAAGGGAGCACTAAGCCCGACACATACATCTACAGTATTGTTATAGATGCCTTTTGCAATGATAGAATGCTAGATGCTGTTATCAGCCTTTTGAAAGAGATGATACAAAAAGGTATTCCTCCAAACATTGTCACATATAGTTCATTGATTGATGGTTTGTGTAAGTCTAGTAAATGGGATGATGTTAGGATATTGTTCTGTGAGATGGTTAATCTTAATATTTATTCAGATGTGTACGCCTTCAGCATAATGATCGATGGACTATGCTAAGAAGGAATAGTTGAAGACGGTGAGGAAATAATGAGACAAATTATTGGAAAAGGTGTGGAGCCTACTGTGATCACCTACAACATGATAATAGATAGATGTTGCTTGCTTAGTCAAATGGATAAAGCGAGGAGAACTTTTGATTCTATGATAGATAATAACATTGAGCCCGGTATTATTAACTATAACATACTAATAAATGGATACTGTAAGAAAAAGAAACTAGACGAGGCCATGAAATTGTTTAGCGAAGTTTCTCAAAAGGTGTTGAAACCTGATAATCTCACCTATAATATTATCTTGCAAGGGTCTGTTTGAAGCTGGAAGAATTGACACCGCACAAAAGTTCTTCGCTGAAATGCTGTCGGTAGGGCAGAGGCCTGATTTTTGTACTCATAGAATCTTGCTTAGTGGTTATTTTAAGAATGGACGTGTTAAAGAAGCTATGTCACTCTTTCATAAGTTGGAAAGGAAGTTTGAAGAAACTGACATTCAACTTTACGGTATTGTCATTGATGGATTGTGCAAAAATGTAAAATTCGGCGAAGCTCATCTTATTTTTGAGAAGCTTTTTGTAATAGGTTTACATCCGAACGTGGTAATATACACTACAATGATTAATGGATTTTGTCAAGAAGGATTTTAGATGAAGCTAAAGATATTCTTAGAAAAATGGAGGACAATGGTTGTTTGCCGGACAATGTAACTTACAATGTTGTTATGCGAGGATTTCTCAGAAGTAACAAATACAGTGAAATGAGGGCTTTCTTAAAAGAAATGACTGAGAAGACTTTCTCATGTGATGCAACTACAATAGAGTTACTGATAGACGTTATAGCGGAGGATCCTTCTCTACTTAACATGATATCAGAGTTTCACCCGGATAAGAAATGAATATCTTTTCCTAGACTTTCACCAAGAAAGCAAGGAGTGAATATTTTTTCCCTTGGTTTTATCAACTATATTATGGCTAGGGCGCAAGTTTTAGTTTTTTCTCTCTGGAAAAGAAATTGCATCGTATGCAATTGGGGAAACGGGAAAAATGAAATTCGAACATTGCTTTTGCTTTATAGGCAAGCTTACCGAGGAGGAAAATCACTTCTTATTTTGAATGTTTTGTCCTATTCTTTATCTTGGAAAATAGATGGTATTGCACTCTTACTATGAGAAATAATTTAAGTGCCCATATATGCATAATAAGTATAGGAATATCATTTGCCACCTATATTACATGGACTCATATGTGGATTAGTATATGATACGGATCGATGTAAATCTTTTGAACATGTATGCCTAGTTTTTTGCTTCTTAGAGTATTTTGTGGAATCCGTACAATATCTTCATTCCCGTCTCAAACCTGTACGACACAAGCACACCAAGATGAACGAAAGATTGATTTAACATAGTCTTTTACTGGTATCTAGGTCATCTTCAGGTATTTTAGCACTCTTACATCTACCATGAGATCACATAATTGATTCTTCTTTCGAGATGAGTCATGAAATTTTCAATAAAAGATGATGTAGATTAGATGTATTTATTGTTCTTCAATATGTTACCTGTAAAATTGGGTACCCCACCTGTCACAATAATATGAAACCCATCTTTTATCTTCTTCTTATTGTCCAACTAAGGTGGTAAACCATCTAAACATCCTCTTTATTTTTGTCAAGCTAGTCAGTATTGACTTGAGAAAGCACTTGCCAAAACATGTGATCTTATCTATGGTGGTCGCTTCCCAACCTAGTTACATTTTAGGTTCGTGCTTTGTGTATTTTGTTATACTAGGGGTTGATATATGAAGCAAAGTTAGGCTTAGAGTATGAGCTCAAATATGTCAAATGAAAGTAATGTCCAATTGTTTAATGAAGCAAAGTTAGGCTTAGGTTGATGTACTCAAAGCCCCACGTTACTTCACTCTTTTCCCCTGTCTGTAGCCTCATCAACTCCACTCGCTGATGGACGGATGCCAGTCATTTAGTCACCTCTCTCTCTCTCTCTCTCTCTCTCTCTCTCTCTCTCTCTCTCTCTCTCTCTCTCTCTCTCTCTCTGCATAAGTGCAACGAAAATGATTCACTGTGTCTCCCTAACAGACAGAAGGGGAATCTAATCTATGCTATCCTTGTTAAGTATCATTTTTATAGCAGACTTGTTATGTTATTTAGCTTATTAACTGTTGGATCCTTCTTGATATCGAGTTCCTCTGTGAAGCTTTAAGTGTTTGATCACTCTTGATGTGTGAGAATTAATCATCTCTTACAATCATAGGGGTGGTTATTCTATTTGAAAGCACTATTTTTGGTAACTGCTTATCTTTTTGCCCAAAAGATGTTGTATTACCTGTTACCAAATGCCATAAAAATTACATTCTACTTCTCAAAATGACATTTTGTTCTGTGCTTAACTCAAGAAGTCGTCTATATCCAAATATGTTTCCTAGGGCCAGTTTGTCATTTATGCTGGGGAGAACCGGCGAAGAGATTTGTGATCCCTATATCATTCTTGAGCCACTTTTTCTGTTTTAAAAGAATTTGAAGTACTAAGCCTTTTTTTCACATTATGGTTTCATTCATTTTCTTGTATTTATAATTGCCTGTGATATCTTTTTGTGCCGAGGGTCTATCGGAAACAGCCTCTCTACCCAAGGGTAGGGGTAAGGTCTGCGTACACACTACCCTCCCCAGACTCAACTTGTGGGATTATTCTGGGTTGTTGTTGTTGTTGTTGTTGTATAATTGCCTGCGATAAAATATTTGTGCTTCAGTCTCAAGGTCTCCAAACACACTGAGCCAGAATAAAGTATTCAAAAGTGGCCAATTCTTGCAAAATATCATCCACTTTGTGTTATTTTGGAGTGATCTGATTAGTAAGATGCTGCAATCTGCACATAATTTTGTGTTTCTGATATTGAACTAAGCTGCACTGTGGTGCTGTGGTCAATTAGCTCCTTATGCGGTAGAGCTGCAGCATTGGGCAAGAAATATGCAGAGTTTTCATTGTTGGTTTTTCTCTTAAAAATATGCAGCTACTAGTCAACACTAATCCGAAATAAATTACGCAGAGTGGTCGTTGTTGGATTCTGCTGTTATCCAACTTATGGCACTAAAAAAGACATTAATGCTCTGATAATGAGTTTTTTTTTTTCTTCGAGAAAGGTAACATTATTTGGTATGATGATGATGTGAGTTGAGCTTAAATGGAGAAGTGAGAATTCATATAGCCGACTCCAACTTGTTTTTGGACTGAGGCATAGTTGTTGTTTGAGAAAGGTAACAATATATTCATCAACACCAGGTTGGTGCTGGCATCAATATATACAAATTATAAAAGACCTTGCTCAACTTACAAGGAAGAAAAAAATTCAATTAATGTCTCTACATCCTGACTCTAGAGTCTAAAGGTTTCAAGTTGAGTAGGACTAAGACAGAACAAAATGGAATGTAAGTTCAGCAACGTGACGAGGGAAGCGGATGTGGAAGTTAGGCTTGACTCGCAGGTCATCCTCAAGAGAGAAAGTTTTAAGTACTTAGGGTCAATTATCCAGGGAGATGGGGAGATTGATGGGGATGTTACGCACCGTATAGGAGTGGGGTGGATGAAATGGAGGGTAGCGTCTGGAGTCCTGTGTGATAAGAATGTGCCACCGAAACTCAAAGGTAAGTTCTATAAAGCGGTGGTTAGACCGGCCATGTTGTATGGAGCTGAGTGTTGGCCAGTCAAGAATTCACATATCCAGAAGTTAAAAGTAGCAGAAATGAGGATGTTGAGATGGATGTGTGGGCACACTAGGCTGGATAAAATTCGGAATGAAGATATTCGGGAGAGGGTGGGCGTGGCTCCCGTGGACGACAAGATGCGGGAAGCGCGTCTTAGACGGTTCGGACACGTGTGGAGGAGAAGCCTAAATGCACCGGTTAGGAGGTGTGAGCGGTTGACTTTGGCAGGTACGAGAAGAGGCAGAGGGCGGCCTAGGAAGTATTGGGGCGAGGTGATCAGGCAGGACATGGCGTGACTTCAGATTTCCGAAGACATGGCTCTTGATAGGAACATGTGGAGGTCGAGCATTAGGGTGGTAGGCTAGGGGATAGTCGAGAGTTCTTCCCTCTTTGTACCGGGTAGTCTGTTAGAGTTTCGTTAGGTTTGTTTAGCGGTCTTTGTTGTATTCACATTGGTGTTTTGTGTTATTGTCCTTTCACTTATTTGTTGTGGCTATTTTCTTTCTGGTATCTTTTATTGTTACATGTCTTTTCTCTTATTTCTCTTCTGATATTATTGCCTTTTCCTGTTGAGCCGAGAGTCTCCTGGAAACAGCCTCTCTGCTCTTTTCGGGGTAGAGGTAAGGTCTGCGTACACTCTACTCTCCTCAGACCCCACCAATAAGATTTTACTGGGTATGTTGTTGTTCTCTGCATCCTCTACAAAATTTTCTTTATACCAGAAGCTTACATCTGTTTTCAAGGTCTTTACTAACTCTCTCCTTGCTTATTTGCTCATCTACATTGAACTAGAAGACTAGTGCTCTGACCATCTACATTCTTTACTCCTATTCTATAGTGGTGAACATCTGAATAAAATTAAGGGACCCGATATCTAAACACTACCACAATTAGATGATCTTACTTTTTTTTATTCCATTCATGTCACTTTTTGAGGAAAAAATTCCGATTTTCATATCACACTAATAAATAACATAATATGCGTACGCAAAAACTTTTTTTTTTTGGTAATTAAATAATTTTATTTACCAATAGCAAATATGTACAATGTCAAAATCTGAAACTGGACATTCCCAGTTTCACACAACTTCTACTACAAGTCTTCTATATCAAACTAAGGATAGAAATTCATTTCTGCCATTCTCTTCTCTACCTTACTGTTTCTTGATCCCCTATTTGCAACTCTTGTATGATTTGTCTAACTATCACTTCCAGTGTCTTCTGATGTTCTTGAAATACTCTCCTGTTTCTTTCATTCCATATATGGTATACTGCACATGCCAAAATCAGTCTATATACTTGAGCATTTGCATTGTTTCCTGTTGCTTTGTCTTCAACCCATTGTACCTCCCTTTGCCACTCCATTGAAGGTCTTGCTATTCCTTGCCAATGTAGCAGCTTGCTCCATATACTTCCAGCAATTCTACATTTAAACAGCAAATGATATATGGTCTCATCTGCTTCATTACACAAGGGGCAGCTTACTTCATCTGCAATTCCCCACGTATGAAGTCTACTTCTTGTAAGGAGTCTGTTTTGCAGAGCTAGATTCAGCATAAAGATCCACTTTGGAGCCCCTAAATTGTTGCACGTTAATCTCTTCCATGATACTTTTTGATACTGTCCTCGCATGCCTTTCTACCACTTCTTGACAGAGAAGTATTTCCATTCTGTCAGTTCCTTCATATTGACCCCTGCTGCCTCTATATATCTCTTTGCCTTAATGATTTTCTGAACTACCATGATGCATTGCTTGGATTGGTTTCCCACACTTCTTGCTTCTTCCCATAATACAAATGAATCCACTGAACCCACAATTTGTCTTTCTTCTTACACAGATTCCATAGTAGTTTGCAAATTGCAGCTTTATTCCATGTATGCACATCCAATACATTATATCCACCAGCAGTCTTTGGAGAGCACACTTTGTCCCATGATAACAAAGCTTTTTTTGAAGCATCTACTCCTCCTGTCCATAGAAAGGTTCTACAGACTGTTTCTACCTTCTTCATCATCTTCTTAGGAATTACAAATATCTGCGACCAGTATATTTGGATGGATAACAACACTGTTTTGATCAATTGCAACCTTCCTGCATAAGATAAATACTTTGAAGTCCAGAAGGTAATTCTTCCTATTATTTTCTCCAGTAGTGGCTGACATTATATCATAAAAATCCTCTTAGTACGCAGAAACTTTTATTTCTTTATTAAGTACACATTCTTACTTCATATTATCATTTATCATAAATAATTTAATCTATTTTTGTACAAACATAATATCTTTCATTTTTGGATGAAAGGATTATTTGAGAATGAATTTTGACACAAAGTGAATCTATCTTTTGGAGTATCGGTTGAAAGCTTGTAAGAACTTATCCACACTCAGCCCCCTCGCCTTGGTTGAATTTGGCTTCGCAATATTTACACTAAACCAATGAATGCAAAATAAATATCTTTTATATACTTCTTAATCAATTAACCGTGATTAATGGTATGTGTTCTCACTTTAAATTATAATTTCTAAGATTAATTTTCCTAATATATATTGTAGATAATAAATTTGCATCGAAAAAATAAAATCAAGACCGAAAATATTGCAACAATCGTAGTATTTGATTTCAAATAATATGAGTGTACAATCTTTATGATTTCTCTGATTCTACTTTTTGATAGTAAATAAATTCAAGGGCCTTTGAGCTTGATCTTGAATATATAGTTGTTGCCACGAACGATGATCTTGTTCTTGAGCTTGAGCTTGATTGCTTGGACTTGAACTTGATTTGGTCTTCGTTCTTGAGCTTGAAGTTGATTTGTTCTTGTTCTTGAGCTTGAACTTGATTGCTTGAACTTGAACCTGATTGCTTGAAGCTTGAAACTTGTGGAGAAATTTGCAGCGTTTGATCCACGAGCTCTTTCTTGCTTCTTGTTATAACTTCTGGTGTCTTTTCTGAGTTATGAAGACCCCTATTTATAGTTGTGGGAGGGAAGAGTTATGATAAGAACAAACTCTTTCCGACCAATCAAATTGAAGTGTGACATGGCCGCATTTGATTGGCCAGAACATGTCACTTGCACACGTGGCGCGATTTCATTGGCCTTTTAGTGTGATCGGGCATGCCTTGTCATTTTGACACGTGGCATGGTCCATTGGCTCTTCCGCTTGACTTGGCGCTACGTTATTTGACACGTGGCACCAAACTGGGCCTCTAGGAAGATGTCATCTTGGGCTTAATGAAGTGGGCTCATCACTTTAGCCCAATTAAATGGGCTAGCCCAATGGATTAAGACTTATTTATTTAATCCATATATATTGGGCTTATAATTAATCCAATTATATTAATCCAAATAAATTTATTTGAACTGATATATCTTGAATTTTAAAATATAGTTCCAATTATTTTACAGATTTAATTCCAATAAAATTTATATGCCTATATATATATATATATATATGTTTTTCACTGCTTTTTTATTTGTCTAATAATAAGATATATTGTGTAATTATAAGAACTCATTTATTACAAAACACTAAGAATTTAATTATAGCTCCATAATGAATAAGGGAAGAGAGACAACTTCAAGTTCAAAATTGAAAGAATTCCGTTTTTTGACTTAGCAAAGGAAGGAAATTACAACTCTTTTTATTTTCTCAACCGTTACAACCTTCCTCCATAATAAAAAAGGAATGATTCATCCTCCTCCTATTCAATCTTTTCTTGTGATGAATGAAAACTCGGTGGCGAAGCTTCTATTAAGGTATAATTATTTACTTTCCTAATCAATGAGTTAATTTTATCTGGTCATTGAGCTTTTTATTTGTTATCCAAAAGTCAATTTTTTTTGTTACGTAAAAATCATTCAACTTTGTGTTCATTACACAAAAGTCACTTTTCTTTCTTTTGTTACACAAAAATCATTTTACTTTGCTCTAGTTATCACAAAAGTCGCATTTTTACTTGAAAAGTCTATTATGCCCTTGATATTATATAAACCTTCATATTTATGTAATACCTTCTATATTATATATTATATAATATATTATTAACTGTGTATTTTATTTATAAATAAATAACTTAATATTATTTTATTTATTATTTATAATATATTCGCATATTTAATTTTTTCTTAATGTTAATTTTTAAAATATATTAGTAGCATTATTTAATTTGTTAGTAACTTTAATATATATTAGTAGAGAAATAAATCGGCAAGTACATTTTCGTAAAAAATTCGCAAGTAAACAAACAAAGAAACTGAGGAAAAAATCATATGTTAATCTGAAGGAAAATCCCTAGGTAACTCTACATGCGAATTTAGGTGGGGATATTTTCTTGGGGATTTACCTGGGCAATGTTATTTTGGAAATTGTACTACTAGAAATTCGGGAAAAACCGTTCAAAAAAATCGACCAAAGTTGATTGGTAATGGCCAATAACCGTCCAAAAATGCGGCCATTAACGTGTGGTCGGTATTTTGAAGGTCGGAAGGGCATACCGACCAAAGTTGGTCGGAAATTACCGACCAACTTTGGTCGGTCAATTAAATTCAAAAAAGAAAAAGAAAGAATTGCTGAAAAAAAGTTATTTTATAACGCTACTAATATATCTTGAAAATTATAGTTAGAAAAAATTAAATATACAAATGTATTATAAAAATAATAAATAAAATAATATTCAGTTATTTTATTTATAAATAAAATACATAGGTAAAAATATATTATATAGTATATAACATAGAAGGTATTACATAAATATGAAGGTTTATATAATATCAAGGGCATAATAGACTTTTCAAGTAAAAATGTGACTTGTGATAACTAGAGCAAAGTAAAGTGATTTTTGTGTAACAAAAAGAAAGAAAAGTGACTTTTGTGTAATGAAAATAAAGTTGAATGATTTTTACGTAACAAAAAAAAGAAAAGTGACTTTTGGGTAACAAACACAAAAGCTCAAAGACCATGAATAAAATTATATCCCTAATCAATATAGTTTTTATTATACGTTGAGATGAGAATATGTTGGTTTCTCATTTGACCCCATCAGTGCCTTTACAATAGAAAGATTGTTGGAGGAGAGGAAGTGGCTGTGAAAGCTCCGACGGAAAAGCCCATGGATGGTCTGAAGCTTCATGTTTAGTTGGTGTTAGATTTTTAGGTTTTTCTATTTAAGTTTCGATCTGTTTTTTTAATTTTTCTATCACGGGACTTATAATTATTTTCCTCGACTTGTATCATAGTCGTCGAAGGCACTAAGGTTCAAGGAGCAAGAGGACTTGGTCCTTGCATAAGAACTGCGGATGCAACTCGATATCCTTCAAGAGACGATAGGACACATTTGGCGCCATCTAATTTTTTCTATAATATTTGTCTGAAGAGACAAGAAATTCTTCATATGAAGTTTGAACAATTGTAATAGGTAATTTATCCATTTTTGTAGTTCATAGCAGAATTACGACAATATGTTTCTTACTAGAAATATGAATTTTCTTTTATAAAAATTAAGAAATTATAAATTAGTCTTGTCATCATTTACAATTTAAAATTGTAGCATCATAAATTTGGAGTGCTTCGTTAAACATCTTTTATTCGCCACTAATTATATGAAGAAAATATCTTGAAATATTGTAAAAAAGAAAGAGGAACAAGAATCCTAAAATATTTGGTTAATGTCTTTACTCCACACTAATAATGTGAAAAGGGAAAAAGGTTATCTTTGCAATGATCTTGTAGGATAAAAGAAAGAACAAAAAGGAACCCTCCGTGTTTAGGATAAATTGCAAATAGGAATGATTTTCTCCTTCTCATTTTTCGAACTCATTGCTTCAATGTTCGGGCTTGGTGCTCTTTTCTTTTTTTGTCTGAACGATTACTTTCCTGGAAATTTTAAGATGGAGAAGAAAAAATTTAAATTTTGTTGCAGAGAATTAGGGGAAGGAAGTGGATATTTGTGTATTAAGGAGGAGTATAGTTTAAGATTTTTTGGAGTAACCCGGGAAAGAGGGAGAAAATGAACGGAAAGAGAAGAAAAAAGAAAGCCCATAGAGGAAGTACCGATAGTAAATAAGGAGAAAAGGGAAGTATTAAGAAAAATTTAGAGGGAAAAAACTACTTTCCGAAAATAAGAACTTATTTAGAAGAAATTGAGGGGGATTACAGAGTAGAATACGAATAGAAAGAAAAAGAAGAAAGAAAAATTTGGAATAGCAAAAGAAAGAAAATTAAATATTCATGTACTATGTATTTAATATATACGGTCATACTTATAGCGAAATGTTATTATAGAGAATATAAGAAAATCAAATCCAAAGAAAATTATGACAAGTTTGTAAAATGATGTTATAAAGAGAATCATGTGATAAAACAACATATTCACTATATTCCTCCAATTTTTTTTTTTCTATTTATGAGAAAATAAATAAAGAAAAATGTTGTTGATCCAGTTTTATTTGTTTGCGGGCGCATATACAATCAATATATAGAATAAAAAATTTGCCAACGTATGCATGAAAAAATTATTTCTAAATTCATTGATATCTTTCACCAATTCTAAAGTTAATAAAATTCCACAAAAAAGATCTCTCTCTCTCTCTCTCTTTTTTTTTTTCTTTTTTTTTTTGTTTTGTTTCATGAGAAAATACAATTCATTAAAATGGAGCTCATGTGTTCGTGAGCACATATACGTTAATATATGGAACCAAACTTTTGCCTGCATTTACATGACATATTTATTTCTTCTATTTTGACAAAATTTCTATATTATAAATTAATTTCAAATTCATTTATATCTTTTATAATGGCGTGAAGGGCGGCCAAATTTACCCCTTATATATAAGGGGAGGAAACAATCACTTGTCATTACTAAACTGACGTGAATTCAAATATGTGCACTCAATCCTATTCCCAGTATGAAACAGGACCAAACTTCTATTCCATCACTAACATCTTTCACCATTTTTGCAACTCAAAGAATCTGAGAGCCATTAAAGTATTTCATTCACATCTAATTAGAACAGGATTACTCTTTATCTCCCCTAACTTTCAGTTCAAACTCATATCTACTACATGCACAACTACTTCACTTCCCAATGGTAATAACCTTAAAACCTTAATCAACTTCTTCAAATTCCTCAAACCCAAAAACTCTTTGCTCTTAAATTCAATTCTTTCCCATTTTTCCAAAAATAGGTTTCATTTTCTTGCTCTTAAAACATTCTCTTTCATGCATTTTAGTGGTATTGACATTGATTCATACACCTTGTGTAGCTCCATTACAGCTTCATCTGCTATTAAAGATGTAAACTTTGGGCAAATGGTTCATACCCTTGTGTATAAATCAGGTTGGATTTCTAGTGTTTATGTGGGGTCTGCTTTGGTTGACATGTATGTTAAGTCGTTGTGTATCAAGAATGCAGCTATAATGTTCGATGAAATTCCTGTGAAGAACACAGTGTGTGTGAACGCGCTTCTTTCGGGCTATTCTGAGGCTAAGATGTGGATGGAAGGATTGGCATTAGTTAGGAACATGCCGTGCTTGAATCTATCTTGGGATAATTTCACTTTTTCAGCAGCTTTGCGTGCTTGCGTTGGGCTCTCTGCATTTGAATTGGGTAAGCAAGTTCATGGATGTGTTATTCGAAAAGTTCATGACTTGGAATCTGATGTTTTTCTTCAAAGTTTGTTGATTGAAATGTATGGCAAATGTGGGTCAGTGGAGAAGGCTGGGCATGTATTCGACATGGTCGGCTTTAGATGTGAAGAAAGAAAGAAGGATGTTGTTCTTTGGACATCAATGCTTGGTGTTTGCGGAAGAAATGGGAAATTTGAAGAAGTGATTAGTTTGTTCAATGACATGGTAATGGAAGGAATCAAACCAGATGGTGTAGCATTATTGACTGTTCTCTCCGCTTGTAGTCACACTGGCCACGTAAATCTTGGAATGGAGTACTTTGAATCAATGGCATCTAATTACAATTTGGAACCCAGCCCCGAGCACTACAGTTGTGTGATTGATTTACTGTGTCGTGCAGGTGAGTTGGATAGAGCATGGAAACTAATCAACGAGTTATCTTACAATGATAATGATAATTTCACTGTTACCTTGTGGGGAGCCTTGCTTAGTGCCTGCCATAACTTTGACAATGTTGAACTAGGTAAATTAGCTGCTCAAAGGGCATTGGATTTGGACCCTCAAAATGATGGGGTTTATGTTCTGCTATCGAACATGTATGCCAGGAATGGCCTGTGGAATGAAATTGAGATGTTGAGGGAAGAGATAAAAGAGAAGGGATTAAAGAAAGACATAGGACATAGTTTGGTAGATATCTGTAGATGAGATAAAAGCAATGGTCAAAAATACACCGCATTCTTCTTCTCAAGGATTCGTGTAGCTAAAAGAAATGTTTTAAGAGGTATTACTGGCACAGATTGTGAGGGTCCTTGATGATTCTCGTTGTGTAAGATAGATTGCGACAAGTGATTAGAGCATACTATAAGTGCAGTTATGATGTTCAAGGTGGTTCACACATGGAGTGCTCCTACAAGTGTGTAGCTGAAGTTAGATTTTTCAAAGACCATGTTTCAACGTGGACTAGTTTCTTGTGTGCGACTGCGAGCATTTAAAGCAGTAGAGTGCGGGGAGTAACCTTTAAATCCAAATATTCCAGGACAAAGGAAACCAAAAATATTCATCAAATTGACATGAAGCTAAATAAGGAGCTCGCTGGGGCAGAGGAGTGCCTCTCCATCTCAATGAAGAGCTACTTGAAAGAAACCTTTACTCTGGAGACATTCTTCAAATTCAATTTTCATTGAAGCTCTTAAAAATTATGTTGGACTTGAGGGGATGAACCGATTTCTTATTTGTGAAGTGACAACAGAGAAAGAGGATTTGGGCTGTGCCATGACTTTGATATGCTCGGACTTATGAGCAACGTAAGCGAGAGTCTATAGTAGTTAAAGATGATGGAATTACAGGTGGGCAGGGAGGAGGAAGGAATTAGAGGAGATAAAGAAGAAACTATGGCAATTCAATGTTAAAATCTGTGGGACACGCTAGTCGCCAGGGCTGCATGAAGTGCACAAGATGGCAAGAACTAGCTCATCTGGAAAAGTAACCATAATTCTTTATAAGTTTCCTCATATTTGAAGCATAAAGGTTACAACTAAATATCAGGATATAACTTTAAGTTTCCTCATATTTTGAAGCATAAAGGTTACAAAATAAATATCAGGAAATGACTTGCTTTTAGTTCTTAACTTCATGGTCAAGAATCAAATGAAATGGGTCCTACTAAGAGACCCACGGACATATAAGGCACAGATGAGCCATGTGAAAGGAAGTCCAAACCATATTCAGTGATACGAAATATCCTTGCCTCCTCAGTGAAGGATGAATTTATTGCTCGTTTTTCGTCATTGTGCATTGAGATTCAGTTGCTAAGTTGTGGAATGACTGGAGGATCACTAATAGTCAGAAAAGCTTTAAAACAATGGCAATGGAAAAGTTGTGGAATCTGATAGTTATGCATGTGTAAAGTGAGCCTTGTGGTTCAGTTGAACATGCTCGGCTTTCAAGGTATATCAAAACAGAATTCATGAAATAAATTGGGTAAGATCTTCTATAACAATGTATCGACTATCGAGATGGAAAATGAGCTATGTTGTTTGAAGATTTCCAGATATCTTCAAGTAGAGTACCATTACCAATGCATATTTCATCAAAATAAAGATTGTACCTCAAAAGTTTTTCGCTGTGACATGGTTTATGTATATAGTATGATAATCTGAAGATATTTACTGATGGTTTATTTCGCATCTGGAGGTGCAAGTTCATACTGCAGCTCTCAGAAGGTAGTTTGCAGCTCTCAGAAGGTAGTTGAGCTTGATAGATGGACAGCATCTACAATTGAAACCTGCCTCTGATTGTGAATTTATTATAACTATATGTACCGTGATTTTCGTCACTCTGCTAAGAGCTCTGATGTAAGAGGTCTTTTCAATTTTATCCTGATACAGTTTTACTGCACCACAGGGAGTCGTGGGAAAGAATTACAGTTTTACCAATCTTTGATCTACTATGAAGAGAGTTGTCTTAAAATGTTTCTGAGTAGAGTGATATAGAGCTTACTCCATTAATTGCACTTTGTAGCATAGTGAAGAAATTTGCTTTCTTTTATCTCATGGAAAATAATTGGCTGCATTTGATACAGAGCCTCATCTGGATGTTGCCTTCTGTTAATATAAATTGATTCAAAAGTAAATAGATCACCTGTGTTCTGCAAGCTTGGCTATTTCTTAATAGGAAGGATAGTAGTCTTGTATGTTTAGGTTCAGGTGAAGAGAAATGCAAAAGAAAACACTGTATTGGTTGGTCTCAAATGTTTGAAAAATACATATGTAAAATGAATATTTTGCTGAAAACAGGTTAATGTGTAAGGTTGCGGGTTACCAAAAGAAAGAAGTCTCAACATATGTGATTCTCACGTTCTTGTTAGCAAAAGTCCTATTTTAGTCAGTCGCACATGGTTGCATATCTGATCGTCTATCGGTGTGATGGTCATATGTTGCAAAGCTCTAAATTCAGAGAAGGTGCTTGAGTAAAAGCAATGATCTAAGATTTTAAGCAACTTCAGAAACTTAAATGTTTTGAAAGTTTCATGGTTTTACTGTTTTTTGAGCTCCACAACTTTGCGAGGGTCACATGGCCCAGGAGTTGTGGCGGGTGCTCATCCGTTGCAGAGGTGGATGCACACAAAGGAGGTGCTGCACCTGCAGATGACAATGCCCATCCGATGTGGCTCAAAAGTAGCGTGGAGAGCAGTCCAATAGATTTAGAAGTTTCCAGAAATGCTCATCTCATGTAGGAAGGTGATAGAGTGCACAGGGTCTCAACTGAGCTCTTGTAAAAACGAACAATTGAAAGCATAGTTGTGCATATAAGATTTTGTTCTTTCCTCACACGTTAAATGTTCTCTTTGATAATCTACTAAATACTTGGCCACTTTGGCTTGTTTGGACTACCAAGCTTTTTAGGGATTCAAGTATTTAGCTTGCACACCTGGGGGAGAGACTGCTCAGTGCCTATGATGAGAGTTTTTTGTTTTTGTTTTTTTTGATAGGTAATATGAGATCAGCACCTATGAAGAGTAGTCGGCTTGGTTGCTGCACGGTTATGTTGGAGAGATTCAAGGCTGTGACAATAAGGTATGAATAGAAAGCCGTTTTACATTGTTTTGCTAAATTTCGGGTGATTGTGCATGTACTATCTAGGGTCTTCTCAACCTACTTAATTGCTGCTAGCTTGTGCTTTTGTTTGTTCCGAACCGGATATGAAATCCTAATCCTTAACATTTGCAGAATTTGCTGTGGGTCCAAAGAGTATTTTCCTTGGCCTATCTATTTCAACCATCCTTATATCTGCTCTCTCTATATATAATATATCTGTCTGTAAATATTTGTGCTTAGAAACTGAGGCTTCTTGTATTTAGGCCACATCATATGGTTACCTTAAAACTCTCCCGAAAACAAACTACGTTGGATGGTTTATCATGACATCATTTCTCTTAATTTTGGGGTTTGATATTATAGGTTGTGATCTATAATAATGCTTTAAATAGAAGTAACTGGGAGTTCCAAACCCCCCCCCACCCCCCCCCCACCAAATTAAAAAAGAAAAAAACAAAACAAAAAGAAGCTTTCTGCATGTGCGGTGGTAGATTATCTGTTTGGTTTAATCTTGATACATTTTAGTTAATAGAAAACCAATTTCGATAGCCTTTACAGTAATTCGTGGATTCTTATAGTAGTCAGTGCTAGTGAAAGAAAGCCAACTCCAAATGGTTGATACTCCCATAAATGTGAAGATTCTGTGTTTGAGTTCAATTTTTCTTCTGTTGGTTGGCATTAAGTTTATCATTTATAGAAATTAATAAGATAAAATATCAAGGAATGTGTCCCAGGTAGACTGTTAGACTTGATGAATTATAGGACCATCTACAATTTGGATGAGGCAATTAGAGCTTATGAATGATGTACAGCATTTAAAGGTAGTTTAAAAGTTGTTGGGGCTGATATAACAGGGCTTTACAATATTCTTTACTAAAGGGCAGCCCGGTACACTAAGCTCCCGCTATGCGCGGGGTCCAAGGAAGGGCGGGACCACAAGGGTCTGTTGTACGCAGCCTTACCCTGCATTTCTGCAAGAGGCTGTTTCCACGGCGCGAACCCGTAACCTCGTGGTCACATGACAATAACTTTACCAGTTATGCCAAGGCTCTTTACTACTGGAGTAAAACATATTTGAAGGGACAGACTTCAAGAGTAACATGGCATTGATGTGGTATAGAGAAGCCTGAGTCACCATCAAACTCCAAATAGAAGAAAATTGTGGTTCATAATTAGCTTTAGGCACATTCTTTTATTATTTTTGTCATTCTTTTTGTTTTCTTTATCCACACTCATTATTTCTTGGAGAGACACTCTTGATCAATCTTGTGTACATTCGGTTTTCAGCTACCTGGATCTGGTCCTTTCTCTTTCCTGCATGTGAGCTTCTAGTTGTTGTGTAATTCAGTGTATAGAAAATGACAAATTAAAGAGACAAGAAGTACAACAAAACAACAACAGACCCAGGGCAATCCCACAAGTGAGGTCTGAAGACGATAGTGTGTACGCATACCTTACCTCTACCTAGTGAAGATAGAGAGTCTGTTTCCGAAGAAGATCCTCGGCTCAAGGAAAAAGAAAAAAGGGGGCAAAAAATCAACAAATAATAGAAATCTATGAATACGAGAGTACAAGACTAATACTACTACCTACTGGTACGACATAGCAATACGCTCGACTACCCACTAACCTTTTACCCTAATTCTAGACCTCACACCCTCCTATTAAGGGTCATGTCCACAGTAAGTTAAAAAGACAAGAAGTGTCATATTTACAAATGTTTTTTCTTGCTGCTGAAAACATTGCTACTTCTGCATTGTGAATATTAGTCATTTTTATTCCACTCTCAATTTCAATCAATCAACTAATACTAGAATCCGAAAATAGTTGTAGTTATCTCAGAGATTAGACTTTTTTATACCGTTCCCTTCCTTTCTCTACTCCCTAATTATGGGAGAATTGGAGAATTAAACGTTGGAGGGATTCCAGTTTCTTTATTGATGGGTATATGTATGGTTGGGAGTTTACTTGCTTTTTCCTTCTTTGGCCTTTGAGGGAAGGATGTAATTTTGTCCTTTGGAAAGGACTTTAAAGGGCAAATCTGATTATTTTCTTTCTTTGGCCTTTTGAGGGCTGGATGTTGTGTTTTCTTTATGCACCGAAAGGCATAATATATATTCTCATGTTCTGCAAATGGAGCTGCTGTAATCTGCATGGGAGGACCATTTACAGATCTCAATCCTATCTTATATTTAGTGACTTAAAAATGCTTGGTTTCTCTCTTGTTACATCAAGAATCAACTGCAACATATTCAGTTGTTCCCAACTCCAAACAGTCCCAAAAACATGTATTCCCTCTATTTAAATTTACGTAAACCTATTTCCTTTTTAGTCCGCGTAAAAAAGAATGACTCATTTTCATATTTGGAAACAATTTATCTTTATGCAATGATTTATAAGTTCAAAAATCTTTTTTTTTTCTTAAACTCCGTGCCCAGTCAAATAGGTTCATATAAACAGAAACAATGGGAGTAACATATATCACCTAACAAAAACAAATCGAGCTCTAAACAAGTGTTGAGCTCGAGTTAAGTCTCAATTTTAGTGCAATAAAAGTACACCTTCACCTTAAACTGACTTCTTTGGGAAATCCTTTTTAGTTTATTGGAATATGCTTAATTTACGCTTAAGTTAAACACACACACAAGTTTTCTTAGTTCTTGGTAATGAGTAAGTTTTTAATTTTAAGATGAATAGTACAAGTAAATTTAAAGATTAACACGAAAAATCTTGGGTGGTAGGACAGAGAGATTGAATGCATCTCTTGTGTAACATAAAACTGCGAATAACGATGTAATGACTATGTACGGAACGATTCAAAATTGCAAAGTCGATGTGCATTTGTATTTCTGCCAAAAATGACCAAAAGAAATAAAATAACAACAGTAGTTACGTGAGTTCGGAACCTAAATATTGTATTTTTGGATTCAAAATACATTAATAGGTGTAAAAAAAAAAATACATATCTATATATAGCGTATAAATAGAAGACGCTATACCTTAACAGTAACTTTTTTCGTTCAGGTATAGCGTCTTCTATTTGCACGTTATATGGCCTGTCGATTTGACTGCCATATATAGCGTCTTGTTATTGTACGCTATATATAGCGTTTTCTTTTCATACGCTATACCCCCATCTAAATACAGCCTTCGTCTTCTTCCCCGACCAGAACCCTTTCCCCCATTTTTTTTAAAATTACCTTGCTTCTGGTCCCCCCCACTGCCCTATTTAAAAAAAAAAAATTGTGGGCCCCTCCCGTCACATAAAAGGTGAAGAACGTAGGTCCCACATCGTATTGGAGCATTATATTATTGTGGTTTAACTCCTTCGTCTTTAAATTTTCACACAAAACACTCACTACATCGAGGTATTTCGATTTATTTTATGTCCAAACTTGTATAATAATCTATATCACTGCCTATTGAATGTGTTTCCATGTCGTTTTGTGTTTTATTTGCGAAACTAGTATGTTATATTTATTCGGACTTAGATATAGTGTTCTAAAAAAAATGTAAAATTGAGATTTAATTTTTTATGTTAATATCCGAATTTAGATATTAGTGTTTCCATGTCGTTTTGTGTTTTATTTGCGAAACTAGCATGTTATATGTATTTTTGTTAATGTTATGTGATTAAAATGTATTTGTTGTTTATATTTAGTTTATTTATTAGCGTAGTAAAATGTAGAAACTTTTAACGTAGTAAACCGTATAGTATTTTAGCGTAGAATCCCTGTAGTTTAAGTATTTCTTATACTGGTAGATGAAGATATATACTTTGTACAATTAAATAATCAAAATATTGAATTTGACACACATAAATATTCATGATAGTTTGGTGCTACTGGGCATCAAATATCGAGCCTGGAACCCAATAAGTATATATATTTAAGAATTTAAATTATTAAACGTACACACACAAAATAATCAAAATATTGAATTTGACACGCATAAATATTCATGATAGTTTGGTGCTACTGGGCCTCAAATATCGAGCCTGGAACCCAATAGGTATACATATTTAAGAATTTAAATTATAAAACAAACACACACAAAATAATCAAAATATTGAATTTGACACGCATAAATATTCATGATAGTTTGGTGCTACTGCGCCTCAAATATCGAGCCTGGAACCCAATAGGTATATATATTTAAGAATTTAAATTACTAAACAAACACAAACAAAATAATCAAAATATTGAATTGGACACGCATAAATATTCATGATAGTTTGGTGCTACTGGGCCTCAAATATCGAGCCTGGAACCCAATAGGTATATATATTTAAGAATTTATATTATAAAACATACACACACAAAATAATCAAAATATTGAATTTGACACGCATAAATATTCATGATAGTTTGGTGCTACTGGGACTCAAATATCGAGCTTGGAACCCAATAGGTATATATATTTAAGAATTTAAATTATAAAGCAAACACACACAAAATAATTAAAATGTTGAATTTGACACGCATAAATATTCATGATAGTTTGGTGCTACTGGGCCTCAAATATCGAGCCTGCTGGAACCCAATAGGTATATATATTTTGTTCAATTAAATAATAAATATACAATTAATGTTGTTGAATTTACAGTTGACGACATGGACACGCCGCCTATACATCCCGGCCCTTACTCTCGTGAGCTATTAGTGCTTCAGGGCGATCATAGGTCCGCCCATATATGGGAGGGAGAGTTACTGTCCCAGACTCTCCGCGCTAGGAGAGTGGACGACCTGTGGGATTTTCTGAGGCATAGAGATCTCCACGAGCGTGTAGTCCATCGCCTCCAGGCTACGGGATTCTATAGGATTATTGAGATCGGGCGGATACAGGTTGACTGGGCTTTGATCACGGCGTTGATTGAGCGGTGGCGACCGGAGACGCACACTTTTCACCTGCCCATTGGCGAGGCTACCATCACGCTGCAGGACGTGGAGGTTTTATATGGCCTGCCCGTTGATGGCATGGCCGTTTCACTGCCTATTGCCATGAGATCTATGGCGCGTGATGCTTATTTGGACATGCTGCAACAGCTCACGGGTTTCAGGCCACAGGACGAGACTGCATCGTCGGGTGCCAGTCGGTTGACTTTGACACCTATTAGACAGTACCTGGAGGTACTCCACCCCGATATCACCGACGATACAAATGAGGTACATATCACCCGGTATACGAGGTTGTTGCTGCTTCTTCTATTTGGAGGTGTCTTGTTCCCGAACACGTCGGGGAACCTAGTCAGCCTGACATTTCTTCATCATCTTCAGCTGCTAGATGAGTTACCCTATTACAGCTAGGGTGCTGCTGTTCTCGGCTACATGTATAGGCAGATGTGCCGGGCGAGCATGGGCACTCAGAGAGATGTTTGTGGTTTTATGCCGCTTCTACAGGTGACAACATATTCAAATAATCTGTTCATCAGTCCCAACTCTAACTAGTTAGAATTTATCTTAAACCTTACATCAACTTTGCATGTTAGGTTTGGGCTTGGGAGCGATTCTTGCAGTTTCAGCCACCTCGACCACAATTACCTCCTAATGTACCACCTTCGTTTCTCCCTCTAGACAGGAGGTGGGTTCTCCGCCGTACACTTTCACGAGAGTATGATGCTCATCATAATCTCCCCCTCTGCAGGGATGTGTTAGATATGCTGGAGGGCGCACAGGTAAATATGTACCTAAACTTACCTGGTATAAATTAACTTAGTGTTGCGCATACTTACGTTTCATGTTGTTATTTGATAGTTCATCTGAACGCCATACAGCGACGAGTTGATAGCTTCCCTGCCAGCTTATTGCTCGGCCGGCCGATTGATTTGGAGCACTTCTGCCCCACTCATATGCCTTGATATTGTGGAGCATCATGCATCGGAGCGGGTACTTCGGCAGTTTGGCCTCTCGCAGTATATACCGAGGGGGCCTATATGGGAGCCTACGCATTATTAGAGAGATGATCGTTGCAGGGCGGACGACGCATTTATGGCATGGTTAGCGACGCAGATCCATATTTGGGACCATCGAGATCAGATGATTCCGCCCCCACCTACACAGATGGAGGAGGTGGGTATTCAGAGGTATATGTCCTGGTACCGGCACGTCACCCGAATTTTTATCGGGAACCCTATTCATCAGGCTGGCGGTCGGCACATTCCTTACGCTAGGCGACACGAGGCACTGGTATGTTTTCTGTTATTATCATTATACTACTGTATTTTAGTGCAATATATGTAGTTTAGATTATATACGTTGTGCAGGCTATTGGACTACATACAGTGTAC